GAGGGATTGCATTGAGAGTTATACCTGATGTAAATGACGAGTTGATGGGTGCTGACGAGTTGATGGGTGCAGCACGCCAACATGGCGCAAGTATACATAACAAACCTGCACGTTATCCACATGTACCCTAGAACTTAAAGTATAATAAAAATAAAAATTTAAAAAATTTAAAAAAAGAAGTGATTTGCTCAAGGTCATGCAATGTTTGAGTAGTAAGGTCGTGATTCTAGACTCCTCGCATCAAAATCAGTGTACTCTCGGTATATTTATTGCAGCATTATTTACAATAGCAAAGACTTGGCAAACCCAAATGCCTATCAGTGATAGACCATAAAGAAAATGTGGCACATATACATCATGGAATACCATGCAGCTATAAAAAAACAAATGAGTTCATGTCCTTTGCAGCAACATGGATGAAGCTGGAAACTATGATTCTCAGCAAACTAACACAGGAACAGAAAACCAAACACCACCTTTTCTCATAAATGGGAGTTGAACAGTGAGAACACATGGACACAGGGAGGGGAACATCACACACTGTGGCCTGTTGGAGGGTGGAGGGCAAGGGAAGGGAGAGCATTAGAACAAATACCTAATGCATGTGGGGCTTAAGACCTAGATGACGGGTTGATAGGTGCAACAAACCACCATGGCACATGAATACTTATGTAACAAACCTACATGTTCTGCACATGCATCCAGAACTTAAAGTAAAATAAAATAAAATAATCAGTGTACTCCCCGTAACACCATATTGCCTTTTTAAAAAAACAAATGAAACTGTTTGAAAACCACTAAATTATTTCTCTGGGTAAAGATGGAAGCAAAATAAGATAGAATAGTCTTATCACAAGGAGACATTGTTCTAGCTCAGAATAAAGCTGAATTTACAGTGTTCTTACATCAAGGTTGATAGTATTTGATTAATACCTGAAAAGGGCAAAGACTAGATTCTTCATCTTTTCAAATTCAAACATTATGTGTTTAGAGCATATCTCCAGGGTTGTATCATTTTTTTAAACCGTGAAATGTAACAACCACAATAAGGATTCTAACATCACAAGAACACACCTCTGCAGTATGAGTGATCTCTGTCAGTGTGCTAGCTCAGCTCAGAGAAAATAGCAATGGTATAGGAAACTGTCACCATGGGCCTTTGACATCTCCCTTGAAAATACTATGTGCCAAAAGGAAGGGCTAATTACAAGAAACAGTTGTAAAGTTTTGCATTATTCTAATCCAAGGAAAACTAAGTCCAAGGGCCTATGACAAGAGCCATTCCTCAGCAACTAAAGGTGAAATATTTCAGGTAAGAAAAGTGGATTGTTTTAATAAATTATGAACATATTCATAACATTATCAGATCATTACAAAATAAACCTAAACAGATATTCAAACCAATATTTATTTATTGGATATGTTTTTTTAAAGCCAGAAACTTTTTTAATTTTTGATTTTTGCATACATAATAGGTATATATATTTATGGGGTACATGGGATACTAAACATGAGCCTATGTTTAAGCATACAATGCATAATAATTTCATCCATGGTAAATGAGATATCCATCCTCTCAAGCATTTATCCTTTCTGTTACAGACAATCCAAATATACTCTTAGTTATATTAAAATGTAGTTATCATTGACCATAGTTGCCCTGTTGTATTATCAAATACTAGGTCTTATTCATTCTCTCTAGTTTTTGGACCCATTAACCATCCCCCCTTTTTCCCCCACCAGATACCACATTACCCTTCCCAGCCTTTGGTAACCATCCTCCTACTCTCTATCTCTATGAATTCATTTGTTTTAATTTTTAGCCCTCACAAATAAGTGAGAGCATGCAATGTTTGTTTTTCTATGCCTGGCTTATTTCACTTAACATAATGACCTCCAGTTCCATCCACGTTTTTGCAAATGACAGGAACTCATTCTTTTTTATAGTTGAACAGTGCTCCATTGTGTGTATGTGCCACATTTTCTTTATGCATTCATCTGTCGATGGACACTTAGGTTGCTTTCAAATCTTGGCTTTTGTGAACAGTACTGCAACAAATATGGAAATGCAGATCCCTCTTTAATATACTGATTTTTTTTGTGGTATATACTCAGCAGTGAGATTGCTGGATCATATGGTAGCTCAATTCTTAATTTTTTGAGGAACCCCCAAACTGCTTTCCAAGTGGTTGTACTAATGTAAATTGCCACCAACAATGTATGAGGATTCCTTTTTCTCCACATCCTCTCCAGCATTTGTTATTGC